TTTTTATTTTTATTTTTTTTGGGAATGGCAAGATTTCATTCCTCTCAAAACAGTTCAGTACATTCATTGAGCCAGGCATACCCAGGTTTATTTACTAATTTTGAAAATATGGAAATAAGAAGAAATGGTTTCTGGTCAGCTTTTTATTCTATTTTATCTTCTATTAGATGTCCTATAATGTTATAGGATGTAACCATTGATTGTCTTCTTACTGAATTGCAAAAAGTTCTGGATGATGGCTGACTGAACTTCAATTATAAGAACAGAGGCACCCAAATTGAATGCTAGATCTAGGTCAACGAGGACTTGATGACATCTTAAACAACTATTCTATCTGAAAACTTAAGCAGACCCATATTTAATCTCTAAAAATTCAATTTTCATAATTTTATTATGTAGTTGAAAATGGTGAACCACATATTCAACTGCTTATCCTTCATAGAAGTTGGATAACTGTTGCAATTTTCCCTTTACTCTTTCCCCGGAGCGATTGCAGTTCTATGTGTTTTATTATACATAGTGCATGTCAATAATTTTCTGTTGTCTGTCAATTTGTTGGAGCCCTTGTTTGGTTGTTGGGTTGGGCCCTTATTTGCTTCTTGAGAAATGAAATTCTGTTGATTGCATTTCATTAAAAAATGTTGGAGTCCCTCTCTAGTACCTGCATTTCTTGGTGGTTGTGTAAGAATCTGGTTTAATTTTAAGTCAAACAACTATTTTACTCTCTTTCTCACCCAACTTTCTATTTTCATCTTCTCTGAGGCAATTCAGTTCTCATACTTCAGTTTGCAGGTTCTTTTTTTTTTTTTTTTTTTGAGTCTTCTTCATTTTTGTTTAAGCCTTTCTTCTTGTTCTTCTCAAATTATCATTTTGGTTTCCTTATATGCTTCCTTACAAATTCAGAAGGACATGTAAATTGTACTGGTTCATTTACAACAGAGGCAGACAACCTTAATGTAACTCCTTTCATTGTCACTCTTTTCAGTCAGACAGCTAGCCTATTCCTGCTTATGGTTGAAGTTAAAAACTTAAACTTCTAACAACTAACATTGGTTTTCCATTTGATTTTCTGTGTTTTATCAATCTCCACTTGTGCCATACCTCGTTTGATGCTGTTGAGCATCAAATCACAAAGCTGTTTTATCCAAAAGTTAATTAGGATATTTAATGTGGTGGCCAGTGATGTAAACAGTTTCTTGTAGCTAGTATTGTGCTGGACAGTGGATACTTTTTATCTTGTTCAAAACTGTGATTTAGCCAAGTGGATGTTCCCATGCACTAGTCTTCACCAAGAATTATGCTGAGTGTATCTCACCAATTCTTATTTCAGGAAACAATACCTAGATTATCACCTCGACTTGGAGTGGAACTCATCCAAAAGAAGATAGCAGCTGCTTTGAGGGAGCAATAGGTCTGTGAAAATTAAATACAAGCATGATTTGTTGTAATATGAACTTATGATGGGTTTTGAAGATTATATCTAACTAATGTAAAAGGATATTTGATCATTCTACTAAGTATGGCTGCTTAAGCAAAACCTTGCTTGGTCATTGCCATGATTTTCTTTTGAGTGAATGAAAAGCAACATTTCTTCCTTTTTATCTGTCTTTTTTCTTCTTTTCTCATAAACATTGTGCATGAAAGCAGACCACTTCAGAGCATGGAATGATAGAAAAGTGTTAGAAACAAATATCTAGTTGATCACAATTCTAGATTGTCATATTTATTTTTGTATACTTTTGACCGGTCCATGGTTTAAAGCAGTACTTGCAGTTGGATTGATATTATTTGGTACTAAATTACTGCCCTTTTGTTGTGATCAAAGAAACTTTGCCTCATTTTTATATTTCTAGTGAATATCTTTGAATATTCAGGTCCTTTGCATGGACCTATACTCTTTGCACGAAAAGTAATGGAAAAGAAGAAAAAAGTTGGTACTCAACAACAGAAGAATGCATGGCACCTCTTGGTGTCCTGGGTGTTTGGGAGGATGGGGCTAGCTGTCATGTCATTATCTGTCTTCTTATTGTAAGATGCCTATGGAATTATGGCACCTGTCAGTTCATATTTTTTTCCCATTTTTTCTCTTGTTGACATCTTTTTCTATATTGCCTGGCAAGAGCTGATTATAATGATAATGATCTGGATTTTGTTTAATCTTTGCCTTTCAGGATAAAGGTTTCATGTTCAAATCCCTCGTATCAACCAACGTGCACGCAATTATTTGTGCTTCTTTCCTGTTAGAAAGGAAAAGCGGCTCTTTTCCAACAAATCCACTCACCATCTCTTCAATAATTCAGAAACAAAAACAACATTACGGGGAAAGTTTTTCCCACCCTGACCTGCCCTCTGCTTTCTGGTAGCAACACAAGTTCCCTCTCTGCTTTAATCAGTGTTTATTTCGTATTTTATTTGCATTTATCATGTTGCTTTTCCTAGAAAAGTAAGGCTACTAATCCCACTGTCAGTTTTTATTAACTACAAGGTATGTTAATAGATCATTCTAGGTCCCAAAAATACAGTACGATTGAACATTAAAAATCTAACCTAACCATCATTAGCACAAATCTAATATTAATTTGATTCTCTAATTATAATAATAAAAGGTTGGTTTAAGACCTTTTAATTGATCAAAATTAACTTAATAATAAAGCAAAAAATGATTTGCACCCTTTTATTTTTCTTAACCTATAATTGTGCATTCTTTCCATTAGCTCTTATATGCAATACAGCGTTTTCAGATATTTTCTTTTGAAATGTCAATAGACCATTAAAAAAAAAAAACCCAAGTACTGTGATTCCTCTTCTGATTCTAATGGTTTTGTGCCTTCATTTGTTTTTAGATACAATGAGACATCACTTAATAGATTGATCATTGATTAGTCATGATTTACAAGTAAGGCATTTTGGAGGATATAATCGTGAGGTTTATGTATAAGAATGGATAATATTATGTGACAGGACACAACGTAAATCCTGAGACATTTAATATGTTCTAATCATTTTAAATATGAATGCATGAGGATGTGATAAGCATTAGTAATTGAAAACCTTCTTTAATCATGAGTTTCGTATCTACTACTATAATCAAAGTGGTTTTAGCAATAAATGCTTTCATGCTCTTGTGAGGTAGAGCACCAGGCAATTACAAAGAAAGAACTCTCTTAAATATACTATCTTGTACGATAAGTAGGAAAGTTACATGATTCCATTACTTGAAATTGTTAATGTAGATTTCAAATGCTCCCCTATCTTGGCAATGACAGTTGGGACATGAATTTTAGCCGTTAACATTCATTGAGAACTAGACATGAAAAGAAAAGCATCAATGACATACCAAACCCTTGTTGAGGCAGGTCATGATATGTTAGAGATGCTCGCACTTGTTAGATACCTTTACGGTTTAGGGTTTAAGATTAAGGATTTTGAAGTTTGGTATGAAAGTACTATACCAAATGCCTTGATATAAAATGCTAACAATGTGTGAAATATCTATAGCAGGTTTTTTTTTTCCCTTAAGGCTGAACCCAATTATGATTTCTAAGTTGCTAACAATATAAATGATAATGATTCATTACCATTGTTTATTGACAATAAATTAATAATAACGAAATTGTGTATCGAATGAATGAATGCATAACAATTTATACAGAGTTAATAAAATTTACAATTTACATTACATGATGTAAGATTTTGTTGTTAATAAATGTTGTCAACAAATCATTTTCACAATATAAAAGACCTATAATGCCAATCACCTAATGGCCTACTGGCAACCAAGCTTTGTGTTAGGCACCGTTGTGATCCTTTCCCTCAGCTACCCCAATTGTAAGTATTACCTTCTTTTTTTTCTTTCTTCCTTTTTTTTTTTTAAAAAAAAAAAAGGAGGGAAAGGCAAAAAAGAAGAAAAAGACCTATAACAGTTTTGTTTCTTCACTCCAATGATGAAAACCCATCCACTTTTAGAAATGCCAGATTATGGATATTGATTCAATAATTTGGTTCCCTTTAATTTCTGAATTGCCATGATCACAGAGAAATAGATCCAAACAACTGAACATACTGGATTTTTCAGTTTATAGAAATAAGCCTGTAATGCAACTCCATAATTGGCTTCCTTTTTGCTCTTGATAAATGATAATGCAACTATGCAAGTCCTAATCATGGACAGGGAAGTCAGCAAACCCATTGAAAGATTGGAGAGTTTCAGTGGTTGAAGCAAATAGATTATTTACTTTTGTGTCCACATCATGCATGATGAATGAGAAGCAACAAACAATGTAGAATTATTAGGAACCATTCCTTTTGTCATATCACATGATGCTTCTCCAAAAACAAATTTTTAAAAACCCTAATGTCTTTAGAGGCCTTCTCTTTTCCACAAATCTTTGCTTTTTAACCTAAAAATTTGTCGAGACATCGATCTGTCATATTTATAGCGTTTGATTGTGATAATCAATATTGAGGGCAGGTGTTATGCACCCCAACAGCAGCATCAATCTTTGTTTTTCTTTTTGGCGAAAAAGAGAGGAACTTTTGTGGTGATTATAATTCTATAAACAATTACAGCCGAAGGATCTCTTGTCCTGTTCGCTGATCACTTTTTATGAGGAAAGTGTCAACCAAGAGATGAGAGAAACCACATTGAATTCCACTTTGATCTGATCTCAGCTTCCACTTGAATTAATCTTATTTGCATGCACTGTTAGGGCCATAATTTTTGTTGGATGAACATGTGGAGTGGGAGGAAAGAAAAAACAAGGGAAACAGTGTACTCTGTAGTTGCTTCCCCTGTTTTCACTTAGACAGATCATCACCTTTTTTTAAAAAAATTTTTTTGAATGGAAACACATCACCATCTTAATCAAATCATGTGACTTTTTTTATATGGGGAGGATGGTGGAATGAATGACTTATTTTGTAAATTTGAATCATACTAGGTATATAATCACCGTATCGAAGATTGGGTTGGTGTTGTCCACTAAGAATGCATTTACAAGAAAGAGGACCAGAAATCAAAAGATTCTGCTCCTTCTCCTTTTACTAGTGTTTTCAATGGGAAAGAAGAGTGAGCAAAGCAAGCATTAGTTTGAGCTTACAATTTAATTAGGAGTTCTGCCTTGAGACTTAAGAGATAGTGGGTTTATACACAGAGGGGGGCCGCTATTGACATTCACAATCAGCCACATATCTCTTCTGACTTCGGAGTTCCTATTTTTTACAGATAATGTCTACAGGAATTTTAATTATGACCTTTATGAAAAAAGCACAGCCTTATTTTCTGATGGTGTGCTTGCAAATAGGGTCAGCAGGGATGTACAGAATCAGCATGGCAATTCTCAACCATGGCATGTACCGTCACATCCTCATTGTGTATCACAATGCTATTGCTGCCCTTGTTCTGTCCCCTTTTGCTCATCTTCTCGAAAGGTCTCTCCTATTCATGCAAGATAAACCATGTTAATTACGTATACTGAGTATGTCCACATAATTTGTACTCTTGATGGAAATGGAACTTATGTCTACTTTCTCTGTCCCTCTTCTCTTTAACAGGAAAATAAGGCCGAAGATGACATTCTCAGTTTTCTTACAAATAATAACCTTGGGATTTTTAGAGTTCTCTTTTCTTTCTCACTCTTACATAATGTAGCTTTTACACACACACACACATATATATATATATATATGCATTTGCACATGCATGCTCACACAAATAGATATTTAAAAAGAAAATTATACTTACTATTATGAGGTTCAATAACAATCATATTCAAACTTACTCTGATACATTTTCTTACTAGTTAAGAGATAGAAATCTAAATAGAGGGAAAGCTGTTTATTAAACAAATTTGGTTCACCGGTAGGCCAATCCTTGATCAAAGATTCACTCGTATGGGAATGAAATTCACATCAGCATCATTCGCATTTGCTACCATGAATGCTGTTCCCTCAGTCACGTTTGTTATTGCTGTCATTTTTTATTTTTTTTTTTATAAGAATTATTTTTTTAAGTACTATTTCTGTTCAACTTTAGTTGATTTAATTTTTTTATTTAAGAAATGTAATAATTTTATTGATAAAATTTTATATTTATCTTTAATTAAGTACTACTTAAATAAGACATGTTATTTAATATACGTTGTAAGGATAATTATACATACACCCAAACAATCAACACTTATCTCAACACCCAAGGCTTATAAACAGTAAAATTACAAATTTACTCCTCCTCATTTTAGCCTTGGGTGTTGAGATGGGTGTTGATTGTTTAGGTGTATGTATAATTATCCATGCTGTAATTATCTTTTTAAAATAAAAATAAAACAAGAATAAACTCATTAAAAAATATCTTGAAAAAAAACAATTAAATTTGAATGCCTCAAATTAGCAACTAAATTTATTAAAATTGAATAGATCGAGGTAGTATTAAATTTACGTCTTGACCATTTGAACTCCATTTCTACCCGAGATTAGAGCGTGTGAAAAACAAGGAGGTTTGCAGTCAAGCTAAGATCATTGGAACCCTAGTGACTTTTGCTGGAGTTTTGCTTATGACAATATACAAGGGACCTATCGTTGATCTTGTATAGTCACGAACACCAAGCCACCAACACAGGAGTAAGAGTGGCTTGTCCCATAAACACTGGCTAGCTGGGACAGCATTGATCCTTGTAGGCTGCATTGCCTGGTCCTGTTTCTATGTTCTACAAGTAAGTTCCATCATGCATTTTGCCATGCAAATTTTTAAAAGGAGAAAAAAAAAATTATGCATCAATATGATTTAAATGATTCTTTATGTGTCATTGCCAGTCAATAACGATAAAGAAATACCAGGCAGAGCTCTCCCTTTCTTCTTTGATATGGTTGGCCGGCGCCCTGCAGAGTCTGGCCATAGCTCTTATTGTGGAGCGTCACCCCTAGGGATGGGACTCTAGGCTTTTTGCTCCCCTCTATACGGTAAACACAAACTTTCAATTTCTTAATTCTATCTTCTAAAACTGAATCAACCTATTTGGTCTTCAAATTTTCCAGGGAATGGTAAGCTCTGGCATAGCATACCATGTTCAAGGCCTAGTGTTGAAAGAAAGAGGTCCTGTATTTGTCAACGTCTTTAACCCCCTTTGCATGATCATGGTAGCAGTTCTTGGTTCTGCCATTCTTGGCGAGCAGCTTCACCTTGGAAGGTATAAATTTATCCATCTTTCCATCCAATCAAGCTTTTGAGTTTCATATTTTTAATTATCAATATTTTGTTTTTCCTGCTTCAGTATCTTAGGAGGCATTATTATTGCAATTGGCCTTTCCTTTGTTGTGTGGGGGGTAAAAGCAAGGATTACCCTGTGCCACCACAATCTCCTGATGCCCAGGAAATCCCAATTACAACAGCTGGTGCTACTAACGGTAATCAGCAATCCACACAGTAAGATGTTTTCTTACTGTCTATCAGAAAACTTGCCCCCCACATGTTTCAGCTGTGCATAAGAGCCTGTGATCATGGCATAAAGAAATTATGAAGACAATTATAACTTTCCTCTCATGCCACTCGAAGAATTAAACGAGAGTCCAAGACATTTTCTTCCCTGTGCTTTCCACCATGGCAACATTACTTCATCAGTGTGGGGGCATTGTGATTGTGCGCCATATATTAAAAATAATCAATAATGTAAAATATTGTGCTTAAAATGAAAATAACGTAATATATTGTAAATACTTCAGACATCAATCATGTCTGCTAAATGTCAACTTAAGCTTCGTATAAATGGAATTAAGTTCCATTCTCCTACTATACTAAGATTTTAGGCGAATCATATTCTTTCCCTTCTCTGAACAAGCCGTGTGGTTAAAGGGTCCAAAGAAACTTGTACTGCGGCCAAATTTTGTCATGACCTGTCAGGTAAGCGTTAACCAGACTAACAACTTTTTCTGGTCATTTAATGGAGAATATATGATCTGTTGAGAACCAAATTTTACATCTGGGATGAGTTATGCCAACCCAGATATGATGTTAGAACTGAAATATTCCAGACACATTTTCTTTTCCATCTTCTTCTTTGTTGGAGGAATCTGAACGCCTAAATAAAGCCCTATCCTTAGAAATGAAATAATAGACATGAAAAAATGCGTCAGAATAAGAACTATTGGGGGATCGAGTATAAATCCAAGAACTTTAATCTCAACAAATCAAAAAGGTCCTGACATAACTTGAACTTGAAAATGCAACTAGCTAGAAGATAATCTGTTTAACTTTAACCAAATTAATTATGATTTGTAAATGTCTATCTTGTAGATTAAATTCAAGATGATTTTGAAATTAAACAGCCAACATCTAAAGAAAATTTTTTTTTTTAATGTACTAGATTAATATAAAAGTGTATTTTTAAAATTATTTCAAACAAAATTAGTTTCAATGTGCACCAAGAATATCATATGATCATAAATAAACAAATTAAAAAAAATGAGGTAAATTTAGTCATAAGTTGACTAGTAGAAAAATGACAAAATGGAAGCATAAAATTAAGTAATTGATACAAATATAATCGAGGAAGTAAAGTTGTGTTAGGGTTTCTATGTTAAAAAAAGAAGCAAAGAAGAAAGAAAACTTGGGAAACACTGATTGCATGGGGAGTCATATTCGACAAAGTGTGTGTACGCATGCAGAATTCCTAGTCAAGACAAAATTGTATTAAATGGGCTAGCTGTGCCTACCCACTCTCCAATTACGTATCTTGCCAATGTATTGTATTCCATATGTGATTAACGTGGTGGGATTCCACCAACCTGATTAATTTCTCATTGGAATCCAAACACGAAAGCACCAACCTTCATTTGTCTCCCATGGTCCCCAACGTGTTTTATTTTAAATTCTCCGAATTTTCATTTCCCATGAGCCTCTACTTTGTTCTATAGTTCTATGCATATTTATCTCAATTCCCACATGATTTATTGCTTTATAACCTTTTTTAATTAAAGTAATTAATACATAATTTAATTATTTTTATTTTTATTATCTATAAAAAAGGAAAACTAAAATGGGTTTTTATATATATTAAGGAACAATAAATATTGGAATTCGGGTTAACATCAAATTCAAGTTGTTATGGTTGTTATATTCAGTTAAGTTCACATGGTGTTGGGGTGACGGTTAAGAGATCAACATCGAAGAGTTCACATAAAAACTAAAATGATGTCTTTGCACATGTGTTTGGCCTCGCTCTCACGTCTGCTACAATTGGCCTGGCTATCCAACATTAGTTATATGGTTTTTAGGATATGTTTGGCTTGAGTGAATGAATTGGAAAAAAGAGGGGAGAGATTAAAATTTTGACCATTAAAATTGTAATATTGGTTAACATTATACTTTAATTAATTAAAAAAATTATTTTTCTTTTTCTTTTTCTCTTTTTTTTTTCAGATTAAATATATTCTTAAATGAAAAAGATAGTATTTTTCTTCTTGGATGTGAGATTCTCCATTCTATAATATTGAAAAACCACAATAACAGCTGCTAGTGAACACAATTTTTTCATGTAATTTTTCGTTTTCTTTTATCATTCTTTAGAAGGATTTCATGTAAAAGAGAATTTCTTTTTTAGTACCTATTTTTTTTCCATTGGGATATGATAGATAAGACATCAATGTTTTGGAATAAGAATAAGTTTTCTGAAGATCAACTGATTAATTGCTAGTTTGGACTAAAAAATGCCAAACTCATTAATTAATTTTCCATTTCAACTAAACCATTAAAAAAACACCACTGGCTAGCTTTGGTCCTAAATTTACCTTAAGTAAGGTCAAGAATTGATTAATTAATTTAGCCCCAAAAGAATCATCTTTTGACGATTATTGGAGGCCACTTAGGTATGCATGCATCAGCTATACCACTAAACCCAAAACCATTTGGTGGTCAATGAAATATATACAAATCCCCACTTCACAAAAGAAATAAAATAAAATTTATAAAGGAGAAATGAAAAGGAAAGCATTAAGCATAATATTTCACGGAGATTTACAGCGAACTCACTCTTCTTTTCATTGATGACTTCAAAACCAAATAAAGGATTCCATTGCTTGGAATATGAGTGGGTTTTTAGCAAATGGGTAAGGGAATCATATTTGGGTGGATAATGTTATATTAGCAAATAATGCATTTTTTTATTTTTATTTTTATTTTTTGCTTTTCCTTGGCTATAAGTAAGCGTACGTTCCATTTGTGTTTTGGGCATAGCGTCAAGGAAAGAAGCAGAGAAGAGAGGGAAGTCAAGATGGCAGACCAAAGTTCTTTTGGCTGGTTGTCTGTTGGGTTGAAGAAGGCAAAACCATTCTTGGCAATGGTGTCCTTGCAATTTGGTTATGCAGGGATGTATATTATTACTATTATTGCTTTGAAGAAAGGCATGAGTCATTATATCCTTTCAGTCTACCGCCATGTTATTGCATTTCTTATCATGGCTCCCTTTGCCCTTGTCCTTGAAAGGTCTCAGCTCCAGCTCTCCCTCACATTCATTTTTAATATAAATGTTTATTTCTTAATTTGATCTAAGGTTACTATATGTTCATGTCTGTAGGAAAGTAAGGCCAAAGTTAACCTTACCTATCTTCCTAAGGATAATGGCACTTGGGTTGCTTGAGTAATGCTCTGAACCTCTGGCCATCTGTTCCTTCAGCTCAATATGCAAGTATTTACTTTTTAAGAATCAAAATTAATTAAACATTGGGTGTTTTTTAGGCCAGTGCTAGACCAGAACTTATACAATGTGGGGATGACATATACATCGGCAACAATGGGAGCAACCTTTGTCAATATGCTTCCTGCCGTTACCTTCATTCTTGCTATGATTTTTAGGTAAAATACTCATAATCACTTCATTTCACATACAAAAAAAATGTATCTACTAGAATTCATTGTATAGAAAGTGTAATTGATTAATTATGTTCCAATGATTATAATTTTGATTAGGCTAGAGAAGGTGAATGTGAAGAAGTTTCACAGTGTGGCCAAGGTGATAGGAACTGTAATCACAGTGATGGGGGCAATGGTCATGACTCTGTACACTGGTCCTGCCATCCATTTCATCAAGTCTGCGGGAGCAATCCACCATGGAAACACCACTGAATCTGATAAGCACAACCACTTTATTGGCATCTTGCTTCTATTTGGAAGCATTTGCAGTTGGTCAGGCTTCTTCATATTACAAGTTAGTAATCTAACTCTCTAATTAAATTGATTGAGTTTTGGTGCAATCTTATGTCCACACTCGTTACATTTTTTTTTTCATGATATCAGTCATTCACACTAAAGAAGTACCCAGCAGAACTCTCTCTTACAGCTTTGGTATGCTTGGTGGGAGCAGTGGAAGGTGCTGTGGTTTCTCTTATTTTTGAAAGAGACATGAGTGTCTGGAAAGTTGGCTTTAACAGCAAGTTCGTTGCTATTGCTTACTCTGTAAGTTTAAGTTTTAAAATAGCAAAACCATCTACAAGCACAAAAACAAGGAATATTCTAATGTGTGAAATTTCATCAGGGAGTGGTTTGCTCTGGAATCGCTTATTATGTACAAGGGGTTGTGATTCGAGAACGAGGCCCTGTTTTTCTTACATCTTTTAGTCCTCTATGCATGATCATAACTGCTACTCTTGGGGCTATAGTTTTGAAAGAGTTAATCCACTTGGGCAGGTATGCAAGCTGTTATTTTAGTTTTTTTTAATATTTTCAAATCCTTTTCCACTTATTTCAAGAATAAATCAAATATGATGAGGATATATAATCAACTGAGTCTGAGTGGGTGTTTTTCTTTTTTTGGCTTTCAGCATACTTGGAGCCATTCTCATAGTGATTGGACTATACACTGTGGTGTGGGGCAAAAGCAAAGATACGAAAAGTACGTCAGAAGAATCGATTATGACTAAAGATATAGGTAAAAACCAAGAATTGCCCATTGTCGATCATGGAGGCATAATTGATGGTCCTGTCAAAATTCTTAAAATTCCAGCTGCAGACAACATCAGATCAGATTCTATTGTGTCCAAATAGAATGTTGTCTTGTCTGTCTAGCAAGTCTGGTCTAATCCCTCTCTCCAAACTTGCTCCATCTGTGTACTAGGTCTAAGAGCATGCACCAGCCTACCCGGCTTCTTTTGTTGTTGTACTTTTGAACTAATCAAAGTGCCTTAATGAAATTAATCAATGTTTACTTAAGTTTCTTTGATTTAAATATGGATATAGTATTGGTACGTACTTATTCTTAAGATAAATGCAACACACACATATATAGGGAATCATAGGGTTGACGTCAGATTGCATTAAGTCCCGAGTATCCTAATATACTGTCCTGGAAAGCATCTAATTCTTGCTATTAGTTGTTGGGACATGTGAGGGGTAGAAAAGATAGCAGGAGATGATTGCAGCTTGTTGAGGTTCTAGGTAGATTTTAGTTTACGATTACATAAAAACATTCCCCCTCGAAATTTTTAACTACATGTGTAGATTTTAAATATATTATTTTTCTTTTATTATTATTATTATTATTATTTTTTAACTTGCAGTTTTTTTCATTAGAAAATGATAATTCATAGTTTTGGATGAATAATTTAAGTAGGAAATGAGAAAATACATTGTATTCAACTAAATTGGGAGAATATTAAGGAAGGTACGCTTCTTGCAATAATTTAGTGAGTTAGTTCATAGGCCTTTTTCTTTCTTGATATATAAGGTAGTAGTTAATTGTACAAAAGGTTCCATGCAGTTGGGTTTAGAACTTTAATTACACCTGAAGCTGTGGCATGGCATGGCATGTCATGGAAAGCACAGCTCTCTTGGCTATTTGCTTGATCATTGTTATTGACGATATTTTCTAGTGAATGAATCTACCTAGCAATGATATACAGTTACAAATTTATAATGCCATATAGAATGAAAAAATTACAATTTTAACATGTTATTAAATAAGTGAATATAGATAATACTATAATTGATTCTTAAATAAAAAGAGTTAATTATATAACAATATATTAAAATTTTAAATTTATAATGTGATGAGATGCATTTTATATGCTTTAATTTTTTTTATTTTAACTTTGATTATATTGATATCTGGATGTGTAGAATGTGATTTTTAATATATTCTATATAGTTTTCATTTTTTGTGTAAAAAAAACTTACATGCATAATAATAAAAGTTTCTTTGCAGTTCTAATTTTCATAAAGTTGAGGGACAAATTGTAATCGAGGACGTAAATAAGTGTATTCGAAGTTATGGGATCAAAGTACTTACTATGTAGTATGTGGAGGACCAAATTTGCAATTTTACCATTAAAGAAATTGCAAGGAGATAAAGAAACCCGACACGGGTTTAGTGTCGATACTACCTAAATAGGTATCGACACTAATTGTTAAAACTTTGAAAAATAAATACAGGGTGAGTCAAACTCGAAATAGGAGTGTCAACACTAATACTGTAGTATGGATACCCTAGGCACCTTGTAACTTAAAAAATTACCATTTGTGACAACGGGCTTATTCCATTTCGATAGGGGTTTTCTTTTTTAAAATTTTATAGATACATTCAAAATTAAACTTAGAGATTAAGAGAGACATGATAGCCAAAACTCAATGTTAAATTTATTTTTTTGAGATTTTATATTATTAAATAAATTTTATTTATATATTTTTAATTTTATTTTATAATGTTAAATATTTTTATATTAATAGTAAAAAATAAAGATTTTTTCATATAAAATTAATATTAATTAATTATTTTTTTATTTTTAATAGTTAGGATTTATTATAATTTTTAAGATAAAAATTATATAATTATCTTTAATAAATATGATAAAGAGTAAAGAAATCTTAACTATTAAAAATAAAAAAAATAAATTATTAAAATTTAATATAAATGTGATATGTAAAATTTGTAAATAAATAAATTTTTACTCAATCATGAAATATTTGATTTTAACTTTTTTTATTATAAATTAATTTAACTATGTAAGCATATAATGTAACTTAATCAATTTAATATATAATTGTATAATTTTTATATTTTTTTAGATTTATTATTTTATATATAGAATATTTTATTATTCTTAATGTATTTTACTAATTGATCACTATTGAAATTGATTTGAAAAACATAATTGGGAATAAGATTTTGTGCAGTAGTTTTTACTAATATATATTATGAATTAAACAAAAGTTAGAAATAAAAAAATATGATTTATACAGTATTAATGATAAGTAAATTCAAAAATTTTTGCATAAATTAAGAAATTTCATGTATCATAATATACCTTTATTTATTTAAATTTACATAAAAATATAATTGGTTAATATATAAGAATAAATTTGATATAACTTGTGAAAATATATTAAATAAATTAAGAAATTTCATTGTTACATAAATAACAAATATCTTAAAAATATATTAATTTAAATTTTATATTAGTTGATTATAATAAAATCAAATGTATTAAAATTTTAACTTTCAGTATCACTTAAATCAATTTATTTTTTAATTAATTAATTTAAATTATTTAATTCCAGTTAATTTTGATCCTTAATTAATTTATAATCTTTATGGGGTGATAGTTGACTTTCTTTATTATAATTATTATAATGTCTAATACTTTTGTCAAAATGAAATTAATTCATCGCAACATCAAGTGACATGAAAACTCTATTATTATTTTTTTTAAGAAAAAGAAGAAAAAAAATTGTAGCTTCAGAAAATTTTCATTTGATAACATATTTTAGAAAGATATTACGCCTTAAATATTTTTTTTAACCTTTTGATTTTACTATGAAAAGAAAATTAAAAATGGAAATGTGAAGAAAGTGGCTTAAATTTCAGGCCCAATATGGCCTAATGTACATCAAAAGCCCAACGGTCCACATAGAAAACTAGCCCAATGGTCAGAATTCCCACACTGCTGCCGCTGCCGCTGCCGCTGCTGCCCCCGCCGCTGCCGCTGCTGCTGCTGCTGCAGGAAGGCAGGCTGTAGCCTCCCGTCACCCTTTAAATCATTCAACTGCGGCTCAACCGCTCCTCTTCCTTTGGAGGCGGCACCAACTGTAACAAGACAACACCTCAAGGTCAAGGAAAACACAAAATGGCGATGCATATGGAAAACCAGCTTTCATTTTGCGTATTCTACCTACCTAGGTCCCTCGATCTCTTTTTCTGCACATGCATATTAATTGCATGTCTTGTTGGCCTCCCTCTTCTCATTGCTGGCTGTTTCATTTTGTCATGTGTCCGGACAATTCTCTCTGAGTTTCCATCAACTTGTCTTTCTTAATTAATACTCTCTTTGTTTAGTTTTAATTGAGAATTAGAATTTCCAGACTTACATCTTGTATTAAAAATAGAATCAGCAAGCACTGTACTTGGTCATTTAAACTTGATTCCCATGCCCTTCATTTATATGGTAACAGAGAAAGGAAGTTCCATGACCACGTACGTCACGTGATGAAAATGAAATGCATCAGTGTTTCCCTATGATCTTATTATCTCCTAAGCACTATCTGGGGCATCTCTTGGAGAGATTGCCAAGTAGGTCTCTTCAATCTATGGATTATGCTTTCTCGTTCTACTATTGAGTATTGGAGAAAAAAGGAAAAAAAAACTTCAGTATCATAGTTCTCTGAACTTAATCAGCAAATTATGTTTTCATATGACTCCATGATTGAAAATGGGACACTATTATTATTATTATAAGCAAATTGTTACATTTTTGCTAAGCGCTTTAAACATTTATGTTTGCTCTGTTGCTTAAAATGGTTATTTCACTATTATAGGCGCATTCTTTGGAAAAGTAGTGAAGGACATCGTCAAGATTCAAGACCAGAGAAGGAAGGGAAATAACAGAGAGAGAGACCGAGAGTTCATGAGGAAACTGTAAGGCTACTGTCAGCTCTGACTGTTATTATGTCATGGATACTGAGATTGGATATGATGTGGGTGATGATACACTGCATCCCAATTCTAGAATTCTTTACACAGCCAGAAAACATAACCCTTTTGGTTAATGCTCCTGCTAAACTAATACGTTCTTTACTAAATTATGAAGGTGCTTTAACATGTCATTTTATGAAAAAGGAGCAACATCTTGATGCTCTAAGTCAAACTGAATTTGTTACTAAAATGATGAGTCATCCTCAACAATGACATGACAATTTCCAGCAACATGGCATGTGTGTCACCTAAAAACGTACATATATATGATATGCTTGTTGTAACTATTTACTAAAATCAACTGCTTGTTGGCATCATGAAACTCGATCATTCATGCTCATTTGGTTCATCTCTTTGTCATTCTTAAGCCACTTAGATTGCCTTTTTTTGTGGTGATTCATGTCATCACAACTAATGGATCATGCCCCTTTTTTCCTTGTTGGTATTGGTGTGAAGGGGCCAGGGGGGCACCAAGAATTTGGGAGCACTCTCCCGATCTATTTTCAGGTTTGTCATGTAGGCTTATCAATATTGGAAGCTGATATGCTGATACTGGGCTGAGATCTTGACTGATTCAACTATCTATCATTGAAGTGTTGGGGTATAGGTTTCACATGTGAGGTGAAGTTAAGAGATGTGTAAAGATCTCACATCAAAGGAAAACATGTTGGAAGACTAGAATATATATGTGGAGGTCCACGAACTTGATAGACATTTTTTTCTCATGTGTAAATTAGCTGACTCCCCAACTTGAAGATCAAGAGTTTGATAACTATTGTGTGCATGATACAGATGCAGTTCTTGTCTCAAATTCCCATTGCATTTTAAAAAGGGAAATTGCACATGGCATTAAGTTCATTCGTAGATCATAGGTAGCCTCCTCCATTCCATATCTTATGGTATAAGACAATATCATTATCGTGGATGAACAAAAAGCATCCTCTTTACCATCCTATTTCTTCACAAATTAATTAGTTAAAGAATTGAGGTGAATTAGGTCAGTGTCATTTTCAATATACGATGTCTACCCATGAAACAGATACAAGGAGAAACCCAATTTTTGTTTGGTAGGAATCTACCAAGATTCCACCAATATTATTCCTTGTTGGAATCTATTCACCAAAACACCAACTTTAGTCTCAACATCCTCCATGTGCATAGAAATATTGAATAAGTTCTAAATCACCTCCAAACAAAAATAGTTTGTTTATCCTATTAAAACTTTCATTCTCTTCATGTA